AACTGCAATATTAAAACTTATTTGAAAATGATCAGCTTAGTAGTAAATATCACGGCAGCAGGTTGACTAGTTATATATAAATGGAAGCAGTCTCCTATGATGAAACACGTAACTACTGCACAGCAATGCGAAATTGTACACAAGACAAAGGTGCATTACGAGTCTTAGCGGGTGCTTTTCTTTTCGCTTTTCGAAACTTTTTGAAAGGCTGCTCCAAGCCTCGCTTTGCCTTCGGCTAGTAATGAATGTCAACTTTCAATGTCTTCAAAGAGACATTGAGACATCCCACAAGTGTACAGTGCTGTAGGCGTTGCCGAGCGATTCCGAAAAACCGCTTGCCGCCGTTTCACTGGTTCCCGACGTGCCAGATTTTCGTCAAAAGTAAGCAAACATAAAAATGGATTGCAATCGTCCCGGCTGGTGCCTCTGTCGTACAGTCTTATTCGCATGCACATGAGGGCAACTTCGGCAGGCTTGCAGTTGCACGTGCTTCGTCGCATGAACGGAGATGGCTGTTCGACCGAAACCATGCTACTCCGCTCCGTTGCCAACTGGTTCCCCAAACTGTATGTAAAATGTATCTGTCTAGCAGACGACAAAAAAATCCAGCGGCACGTGCTGGCCAGGCGGGCAAACAAGGTACATGCTAAACACACACAAAAACAGAACCTGAGCGCATTGCTGCAAGACATCGCGAGCCAGGGTCAAAAAGTTCTTGGGGCGCTTTGTGCAACAACTGAACTCAAGACAAACAAGCGCGCTGTGCGTGTTCAGCGTGCATACATTGCCGTCTTTTGTTTTAGCTCACTTCTCTTCACCCACTTTCTTCTGCGGGAGATTTTTCATGTACCAAGGTTTCTCTCTCGAAAAAAAAAAAATACCGAGAGAAACCTAGGTAATCAATATTTTGACACAGCAAACTGAGTTAAAGAGGGATTCTTGTAGTAGCGTACGATTTAAAAAAGAACAGGAATGTTGATGAACATGCGGCAGTCCTTACACTTCAGTTTAGAAAGCGCAACATCTGCAGCAACGTGGGGACGGCAATGCCCGACGTTGCACGACCACGGTGACTGGCAGGCAGAGACCAAATAGTTTTCCAACGGCCATTGTTTTCAGGAGCGAGTGCTTCAACTCAGAAAGTAACTCCCGCCGAGCAAAAACGCGGTTTCGTATCACAGTATGACGGCATGGCTGGCCTGGTACCCGGTGCGCTACCGTCGGAGCATCCACACATGCCCACGTCTATCATTAAAAAAGTTTTAAAAAGACGCGAGACCAGACTTACGAGACGACGAGAGCGCGAAACGAGAGACGGCGGGAAAAGTCAAAGTCAAATTTGGGGGTTTTACGTGCCAAACCAACGACGGGCATCTGGCACGCCCCAGCGGAGGACTGAGGATTAATTTGGACCACCTGGGGATCTTTTGACGTGCAACCGAAAGCTCGGTTACACGGCGTCTTCTCCGCAATAAGCCTCCGTCAGATTGCGGCGGGAAAAACCATGCAAGACCGAACAAACCATTGATGCAGGGTACTTTGTGCCGGGCGGCCGCTTGCGCCACCTAGCTCACGGATGCTGAATTATGGTACTCAGTTTAGTTTTGGTTTCGAAAAGCAACCAAAATTGGTCCTATGACGCAGACTTGGCGCAGATTACCCTTATTCTGGCAGAATGTAGCAGGATGTAGCAGGGTTAGTCCCTTGGCGCAGTTTGGCGCAATTGGCGCAGCAATCACATCACTGCAATAGTCGTCTAGGCGAAATAATGACCACCGATCAAGACGACAATATATATGTGTGTGTACCTTTCGTAACGATGATCGCCAGTCAAGACAATAAATGCGTTTGTACCTTTGTTCAAAATTCTGTGTCACGTCTGTGTCGTGTGCTAAACAGCTTCGCTGGTCATTCACCATCACAGAGCAGAATGGCTCATGATTTTTTCAAGCACACTACAAGAAACATCCAAAAATTCCTGAACTCAACGAAACTGCGCATTCCGAAACCGGCTGCTCTCCCAACAGATTCTTTAACTTGATGCAGAGTATGTCCAACCCCTTCTACCCTTAACAATTGCATCACAAACAAACCCCCCCCCCCTCCCCCCTAAAAAAAAAGATTGTACAAGGAGTGCGAAGTTGAGCACAAGACAAATGTCTTCCGCAGTACTTCCTACATTTAGAGTCGAAACCAGATATATCGAATTCAGAGGGCATTGTAAAACAGTTCGATATATCGATAATTTGATATACAAAAATATGTTAACTTAAGCTCCAGTTAAAATTTCCGCGCGTCTCTGCTAATACCGAAGGCCCCACAAACGGGACCTCACCAAATAGAGCCTCCAAGAGCCGCTAAATAGAGTAGAGCTTAGTTTGTGAAGATCACAAACACTGCAGCGTTTACACAACGGTGCTTGACTTCCACAAACCCAGGCAACAAAACACGAAAATAATTTTAAAAAATTAAAGAACGGAAAACGTGAGCAGCATAAAAAACTTCCCATCCATAAAATAAAGTTAAGCAAGCAACAAAAAAGAAACCTCACTACGGTATACTCAAACAGCAAAAAAAAGAAAGGAAAAAAAAAAAAAATAACGGGCAGAGCAAAAAGGAAATAACGGGCAGAGCACCGCAATTTGCAGCCTTTCTTGCCTTTTAAATATGGCATATTTATTATTTTGTATATTCTGAAATATTTTAGCTGTCATTTTTGCCAAATTATCTGCCTATTTTTCTCGGTGTTGCACTGGTCACAATAATTTTGGTTTTCAGAAATTAAATCTTGCATAATTTATTAGACTCTTATTTCATGCTAATAGCATTAACAGTGATGTGATTGGCCTAAGCCGTTTTGGAGCACCTTTCGGAGCAGCCAAAACAGTGTTTTGGAGCAGCAAAAAGTGGCTTTTGGAGCAGATATTCTTAGAAAAATAAAAATATTTGTTTTAAGCGCTGGACAAAGGAAGGGCACTTCGCTCGCCACAATAAACAAATTATGGACAAGTTAGATGACCTCGGAGTCTTTCAAGATGTTAACTGAAATGCCAATGACACGACATATTTTGCAATACTTCAGTTAAAGGATACATATATATGTACCCACTACAGATAAATAAGAACCAAACTGCACATATTAAATTTATTTGAAAATGACCAGCTTAGTAGGAAATATGAAAGCATAAAGTTCACTAGTACATAGTAGTATAATAAATTGAAACAGTATCCGAGTGACGAAACACATAACTACTGCAGTGCAATACGAAACTGTACATATGAAAGAGGTGCAGTACGACTGGCCGGTGCTTTTCCTCTTCCTTTTCGAAACTTTCTGCAAGGCTGCTGCAAGCCTCACTTAGCTTTCGGCAAGTAATGAATGTCCACTTTCAATGTCTCCAAAGAGACGTTGAGACATCCCACAAGTGTACAGTGCTGCAGGCGTTGCCGAGCAATTCCGAATAACCTCTTGCCACCGTTTCACTGGTTACCGATGTGCCAGATTTTCGTCAAAAGCAAGCAAACGTAAAACAATGGATTGCAAGCGTCCCGGTTTGTGCCTCTGTCGTGCAATCATGTTCACATGCACGTAAGGGCAACTTCGGCAGCTTGCAGTTGCACGCGCTTCGTCGTGCGAGCGGAGATGGCTGTTCGATCAAAACCATGCCACTCCACTCCGTCGCCATCTGGTCCCCAAAATTGTATGCAAAATGTAACAGTGCAGCATACGACAAAAAAAACAAAAAAACAGTCTAGCCGCGCATGCTTGCCAGACCAGTAGGCGAGGCACAAGCTAATTTAAAAGGTTAAAAAGCGCAAACAAAACAAGGACAATAAAGCTAATCACAAAAAAAAAAGAAAAAAAGAAAAAAGAACCTGAGCGCATTAATGCAAGACATCGCGAGTCAGGGTCAAAAAGTTCTTGGAGCGCTTTGTGCAACGACTGAACTCGAGATAAACAAGTGCGCTGTACAGGTTCAGCGTGCAGATATTGCCTTTTTTGCTTTAGCTAACTTGTCTTAAACTTTCCTTTGCGACAGACTTTTCACGTACCGGGGTCCCTCTCAAAAGAAAGCCCACCAAGAGAAACCTAGGTAATTAGGTAATACTTCGACACAGCCGTCTTTGAGTTAAAGAGGAGTTTTTGTAGTAGCGTTTAATTTAAACAAGGACAGGATTGCAGCGGTCCTCATGTTTCAGTTTAGAAAGCGCCATATCTGCAGCAATATGTGTACGGGAACACCCGGCGTCATAACCACGGTGACTGGTAGGCAGGGACCAAAAATAGTTTTGCCATGGCCGTCTCTTTCAGAAGCCAGTGCTTCAGATCACAAAGTAACTACCACCGCGCAAAAACGTGGTTTCGTTTTACAACACGACGGCATGGCTGGTACCCGGCAAGCTAGCGTCGGGGCGTCCGCACACGCTTGCATCTATCGTTAAAATTTTTTTTAAAAGGATGCGAGACGAGACCCACGAGAGCGCGAAATGAGAAACGGCGGGAAAAACCATGCAAGACCGGATGGACGATTGATGCAGCATACTTTCCGTCGGGCGGCCGCTTGCGCCACCTAGCTCACGCAAGGTCAATTACGGTACTCAGTTTAGTTTCGGTTTTGAAAGGCGACCGAAATTGGTCCTTTGGCACAGGCTTGGCGCAGATTACCCATATTTCGGCGAAATGCAGCACGATGTAACAAGATTTGCCCCTTGGCGCAGTTTGGCGCAATTGGCACAACAATCACATCACTGCATTAAAGAAAGCAGTTCTCACGCTACACTTTGATATACTGCAAGAAATTTTAGAAGCATATGTTTTTTTAGAACTAAAAAAAGGATGCTGGGACCCTCCAAAAATGAGCAGTTTTCTCGTGGTAAGGAAAGAGTTAATTGGTTCACTTACTGTTCTGCTAATAGCCATTTTTGTGGCCAGTTTGATTCGTGTATTATTTTAGTTTCTATGTCTGCAGCACCCGTCAATCCCACAATGATGATCTCACCTGGAAAGACTTGTAGAAGAAGAGGCAGAAGTTGGTAAACACCACCCAGAGCTTTTGCCAGCCAGAGCTGTTCTTGAACTTTCTCAGCAGGTAGCCACTGAGGTAGTGCTGAAAGTGCAAGGTCATTCCATCAAGCAGCTGCAAGTCCCTCATGGGCAAAGAAATACAAGTGCTTTTACAAATAGAGGACAAAGCACAAGGTGCTTTGAGGAAGAGTCACTGATAGGCACATGCCAACAGTGGATTTTAAGTTCGAAGTAAATTCGAAGCAAATAGTAATTTCGCTTCGAATATTTTAAAATCGAATATTGAACAGTTTTTCTAACCCTTTCACCACTGTTGTACCATGCTTAAACAAAAACCCAGCTGAACTCGTAAAGGTTGTTCCCAAGCTTCCACTTGTCCACTTCTAAGCTCAGTTAATTTTAATGCAACTACCTTAAAATCCCGTGGAAGTGCCCCACTTTGTTCAAGCGCACACATTTCCCAAACTTGGGAATTCTGCAAATTAGACATTAAGGGCCCTGTTTGACTGGGCAAGTGCAGTGAAAGTAAAGTGGACACTGCCCCGGTATTTCACAGTATATTTATGAATTGTGGTCTCAGAAAGTCTAGTGGCTATGTTGGGGTGGCAAGCAAACAAAGATATGACATAAAATTAAACCTATAGATATTGTCACAGATGAAGGCAATGAGACAATAAATAATGAACTGAAAATAAAGGTTTAATCGACAAACTTATGTTAGAAACAAAAGAGGAACAACACACGACGAGAAAACAGCAGCAGCGAGGGTAGACGGCAGTGGCGGTCCTAGGAGAGGGGGGGGGGGGGGGGGGGGGGGCAAAGGGGGCAATCGCATTGCCCCAATTTGCTAGTTTTATTTTTTTTTCATGGAAAAAATTGGGAACACTAAAAGCCTTGTTTGCTGAACCAGTGAGCACTGGCAGCGATCAGAATTCTGTCCCCACACTAACACTAATCATCATCCCTTTTGTTAGAGGCTCGAAAGCCCATAGCAATTACAGTATACAGACCTATTTTCAATGAACTTAATGTGTGTGTATGTATCACAAAAAGAAAGATACACACACGTGCGCACATGCAGATATTGTCTGGAAATTTGGGAAGTGGCTTCTTGACCTTGATGAAGAATAAATAGACTTTCCACTACACGCCACCATACACACTTCCCAAATTACTTCAAAATTTGGGAATTCTCCTCTCAGGTAGCACGTCAGCCGTCGCCTTAGGATTGTTCCAAGTTACCGGAAGTTACCGGTACTGCTGGAATGAGGAACGCCTTGCCATCTATGACAAAAGTAGGCTTTTCTCCTCCCAAGAATGCGGGAGATCCCTTCTTTTTGATCACTTAAGGAGACAGCGCCAAGTGGCACCATGTTTTAGGATGACTATTATAGTAGGCCTGCTCGCACGCAAAGTTCAGACAGAGTAACTTTATATTTTGACAGACAAGCATGTCAAAATAGTTTATGAGATGCCATCTGCTTAAAGGAATACTGAACCGAAATTTCGCCATTTTTTTGGAAAAGATGTGAGCGATTGAGCACGAGCGACGAGACCAGTCACATCATGATTTCCATTCCCTCTCCTCCTCGCTCAGTCCCATCGAGCTGGTGAACTGAAGCGAGGAGAAGAGAAGCGAGGCCGCTTCCCCTCATTCTCAAATTCTCCCGGATGACAATAACGCCAAAGATGCCGCTTGATTGCGCCATTCTTTTACAAAAGTATGAACATCCGTTTGAGATATCGATGTATGAGTGATGTTTTGGAGTTCGAAGCGTCCCTCAATGCTTCCGTGGCCTTATTTTGCAAAATCCAAATTTCGGTTCAGAATTCCTTTAAAATGACACTGACAGGGTATTTATGCTCGCCGAGGTTTTTAGTTCTACAAGAAATATGAGAGCCCAACTACTCAGAACAGAATTTTCGGCTCGAAATTCGGTTTTCTTTCCGCACAAAAATCGCCGATCGAGAACTGGCCAATTTGAGTCACACTCACTCTCTTCTCCGTGGTCATGGGCCGTTTTCTAAGGTTTAGACACAACCACCAAATTTAATCAAAGTCGTGGGTTCTTGAAGGCACACACTCAATATTAAAAATACAAAAAATATATGAAACCCATTTTTCGTGGCTTCTAAAAAGCTGCAACTACGTTGATTGAAAAAAAAAAAAGTTGCATAGACAACCGGAAGCATTTTGTGCGTTCACTGCGTAATTCTCAATGTGGCGTCGTATCGCGTATCGTGGGACTCGCGGGCTGGACGGAGATGGCAGAGGACGACGGGCGTGGAACCTCTACTTCAAAACTGTCGTTCGCGGTACTGGCGAATCTGTCTTTGTTCGAAGAGAAATTTTGGACCGATCAAAACAATTAGGATCCATTCCGTTTTGACAATCCTGACCACCAAGCCGATTTTCACGAAAACGTCACCGAGCCGTCGCCCCTTCTCGTGGCTGAAGACATCGCTCGCGCAAACGTCAAGCTCAAAGTGCGTACTTCAAGTTGAATATGCGTGCGTATGATTTCTTTACTAGGTGCGAATGTGGCCAATCCGTGGTGCTGCCCGACTTCAAGCCTGGCAAGTGTTTTTGCTGCAGGGAAATTTGCAACAAACTTTCCCACCTACAGTCGACCGGCTGCATTACTACGAACGAGGGGTTCCCCCTCGTCTGCCTGAACATTACAATGCTAAAACCATCGTATTTCAAGCTCCACGATAGGAAGGTGCCTATGCCCAAGACATCCACAAGTCTATGTTGTCACGAAAAACAATTATTTCATGTGTTAGAGTAGCTTAGTGGAAAATTGTCTGCTTCACACGCAGAAGATCCTGGTTCAATCCCTCGTGTAGGGATAGAACTTTTTTTTTTTTGGTCCAACATTTTGCAAAATAGTTGTGGACGAAACGTTGCTGAGCTAAATGGTTTGGGACTCCCTTCTTGACACCTGCGAACTCAATGTAGTCAATTTGCCCAGATTTCCTCGACTGTCCCGGCCCCTAAATAAGTTTTCCCTTATTTTAGCCAATCGGAGCCAGCCATTGACACATAGCTACGAGCCTTCCCTCGTTATCACCGTTTACAAGCCCTGTATGTGTCTGCTTTATCTCCTCAATGCCAAGACAGGGGGGGCCCTTAGCTTTAGCCCAAAGCAAACGTTGGCTCCTCGAGACAAAAAAGGTTCTGAACTGCCAAGAAAAAGAAAGCCGAAATCGCCGCTGTCGCTACGCTGATTTTTGCCGAAATGCACTGGCATTTAGCGCGGGGGTTCCAGCTCCACATATTGTTTTCTTCGAAAAGCCAGTCTGTTCTCCCGGGCGTTGGTGGTTTCGAAAGCAGCCACCGCAGAACAGTTCTGTCTTCCAAGAGCTTATCTTTCTTGACGAGGATGGAGTGTTCGGCAAGTTGGTGATTCATAATGGTTAAGAAGTGCAACAGGACAACGGACAGAGAGGAAGACAGACACAGTGCTGTGCCTTCCTTTCTGTCGCTTGTCCTGTTGCGCTTTGTAACCACTATCTTTTCTCCCAGGTGTTGGCGGTTTCGCGCAAACTGCGCCGTCGCCACGCCTCGGTTTTACGTTGTCGAGTACGTCGTGCCACGGCCACTCGATCCCCTCTCGTAAGAGAAAAAGTGGACGTGACTGGTGACCGAACACAGCAAAAGAACACGGTGGGAACCGCGGCCTCACGAAACATGTCCAGTTCGGTCCGGTTCAGTCCAAACCACGACCGTCCTATGAAACACGACTGCATGCACCGGGGCAATGAACGCCTTTAAAAGAAGGAAAGTGACTTGCCAGGAAAGCCTGCTGGTGCTGCTGCCTGCCGATGCTGGTGTTGCGGTGCCAGCAGAGGTGCAGGGCGGTGTTAGAGTGCTGCGCCGGCTGGCCCGTCCACTTGCCGCCGGCGGGGCTCTCCTGGGGGGCACGGTCCAGTCGCTCGTCCGAGGAGTCTGGGAAGCAACAGGAACGTCACGGGAAAAGATACCGCAGGCTGTGGATGCAGCAGATTTGTGTTTCACGGTGCAAAGGACCCGCGGAAACCCGCCGAGAACTCGCATCTCACGGGAATGGATAGCACAGATCTTGGAAGCAGCAGATTCAAGTTTCATGGTGCAATAAACAGGCGGGAACCCGCTACAAATTTACCTGCCATGAGAACTGGTATTGTGCGCGCGCATCGTGGAAAAAAACACAGGATTTCGCTACAAACTTGAATGTCACGGAAACGGACTGCAGACGCGGGAGATTCGCATTTCAAGATGCAATGTACAGTGCTCGTCAAACTTATACGGAACACTTGTAGAATACTGAATGCAGAAAAAAGATAAAATATGAGAGAACTGTGAATATTGATGTGAAATGGGCATGTGTTCCAGATAAATTTGCTGAGCACCGTACATGCAGGAACAACTCGCATGTTACGGTAGCCGAAATCGCGCATGCACATCGCCGACGAAAACGCAGAAACCCGCTTTCAACTTGCTTGACGTAGCAGTTCATCGCGCGGTTCATGCGATTCCCGTCGGATATTGCGTGATGTCCTACTGGAATTGGGGGTTGGGCAGTGTTTGAAAGTTTTTATGCTACGGATTTTTAGACAGAAAAACGGGATGGGCAATTTCTCGGGGGAGGACGTCTTTACAAGATTTTATGGTAGGTCACGGGACATCATGTCATGTTTCATCAATTTACCCGCTACATCTAACGGGAAAACTGAATTTGTGTATAGGTTCCGTGACACAAAGTCAAGTGACGTCATTCTTCCCGTTAAAGTTAGCAGGAAACTGAATTGGTGTTGAGGTCACATAACATTTTCCCGCTACATCTAGCGAGGAAACTGATGCCGTGAAGGTCATGTGATGTCAATTTTACCACTAAATCTAGTGGGGAAACTGAAGTCATGAGACGTCACAGGCTACAGCTTCACAATATTTAACTTAATTTAATCCGACTTCACAAAATCCAGAGCAGCTAGCCAAAAGAATGTTTAACAAGTAATTAACTAAAATCTGCATATTAACATTTTAATCAATGACAATAAACATGGTTTCAATTAGAAACTTTTTGAGCATCATCGAAAACCACTAAATCAACTCATTTTCGAGAGATATAAGACTGGTACAGCATTTTTTGTTCTTTTGAAAAAAAAGGCTCAATTGGGATGCGTTCCTATGTTTCAGTTTTCTATCAGAGCACATCTTTGTATCAGCAGTCCTGCCCCCCCGTGGCTGAAGCGTGAAGCTATCGCCTCGCTTCTCTCATAGGTAGAAGGAAGTATTGCACATGCGCATTGTGGGCCTCGGCCACCAGGGAGCGGGACCGACAACGCAAAGGTGCACACCAACAGAAAACTGAAACCTAGAAAAGAGTCCAAAGTGAGCGTTTTTTTTCGGAGAGCCATAAAATGGTGCACTTGCCACGTACCTTTCTAAAATGAGCTGGTCTAGTGGTTTTCAACGACGCTCAGCAGATTTCTAATAGTCTCGTGCGAACAGTGGATTTTGCGTTCGAAGCGAATTCGAAACGAATAGTGGTTTTGGCCAAATAATTTTTATTAGAATATTGAATAGTTTTTCCACGCCTTTTACTACCATTGCATAATACTTAGACGAAAACCCAGCTAAACTTGTGAAGGTTGTTCCACTTGTTCATTTATAAGCTGAGTTTCATCTATCTATATTTATGAACTGTGATCTCAGAAGGTCTGGTGTCTTGGGATGGCAAGTAAATGACGGATTCAACATAAAATTAATCCTGTAGAGATGGTCAACTATACCCAGTGGAGGGAATTTACAAATCTTACTATATAAAATATTCTTTCTTTAATCTTGATAAAAAAAAATTAATCGCGCATGAGGAACGGAGGTTGTAAGGGCATCTCTGCCTAACATAGTATACTCTTGCATAACAGTTTAATTTTTAAACTTTTACTACAATGTAGATATACACAATCACAATGTTTATTTATTTATAAATACTGTATTTAATAAATACAGTATTTGTATAAATACTGCCGACTGTATTTTCATTTATTTTCAAATACAGTCAGCATAGGTGCACCATCCCGCTTTGAACATATGCTTTACTTCCAAGTACGCAATTGCGATATTCATACTTTTCCAAGTGTCTATTGCGGCAAGTTACCCCATTGAGTGCGCTTCTTACCAAGCACAGATGCGCTGCGGAGAAGCAACACCCGCAGAGCTCGCTTCCGCGGGTGTTGCTTCTCCGCAACGCACCGGTGCTTGGTAAGAAGCGCACTCAATGGGGCTAACCTGCCGCAATCAACACTTCGAAAAAAAAACAAAAAAACAATCGCATCTCCACGTGGTGAATGATGTTGATTAGGGCGAAGCTCTGGTGGTGCTTGGCTGCGTAGATGGTGAGCCGCAGCATGTCGAGCCTTTCGTTCGTTTTTATCCATGTCACGGTGCGGTCAAATGCTCAAATGCATATATAACCACGTTCCATACCACACATTCTCTTTCGAAAATGGATGAAAACGAACGAAAGGCTCGGCATGCTGCGGCTCGGCGTCTACGCAGACAAGCACCACCAGAGCTTCGCCCCAATCAACATCATTCACCACGTGGAGATGCGGTTGTGTTTTTTTGCCCTACACGAGCACGTGCTCACGCGCTCGTGAGCACGAGCACCCGACGCCGGACGGACATACGGACATGGCTAGCCTCTAAGGAGCTTTGCCCCTAAAACACGAATAGTGCAGTTCTTCTCGAAGCAAAGGTCGGATAGTGTATTATTCGGAACTACTATTTGAAATTTCAAATATTTGCACAACCCTAGTTTCTGATTGAAACCATTTGTTTATCTTTATTAATCAAACTTGATTAGTACATTTTAGTTAATTATTTAGTAGGTTTCTTTTCCAGTCCCCAACGTTCTCTGTGGCCGGCAGCTTGTTCGCGGTTCAACCATCCTATTTTTAGGGATTTTTCAAAATCTTTGCTGACACACTTGGTATGAGACACGCCTGTATGGCAGTGATAGCTGTTTGACAGAGTAATCTACAATGTGAAAATTAGAACCATTACTAGGCCAGTCTTTTCACAAAATAAACATGTGGGCCTGAGATCACCCCAGTTCACACACTCCCATTACATCATCCTCAAACTCAAACTCTTTATTTCTCTCCATTTGGAGAGAATGCATCCAACACGCAGTTTCTCACATGTTACCGCTACATCTCGCATCCGTTGGGCATTTTAGCACATTTTCCGGCTCCATAATCCCAAACCCAACAATCATTTTTAAGCATTTCTGGTTACATCATTTTGTATCCAAGAGGCCTTTTTTTTAATATATTTTTTGGGTTAACTCATTATTATCCCACAAGGAGTTTTGCACATGTTTCTGGTTACATTATTTGTACACTATCCTACGCACGACTCAGCTGTTCTATCCCTACTGGTTGCTGAAAAAAGTTGCTTCATGCACTCTATCAGGCTGCCCCAAGACACAAATGTGGGTTTTTACGAGGGGGAGCTGCACGAAACTCACTGCAGGACTTGAGACTAGAATAGAAGAGGCCCGTGTCCTTGTGGTCTCTTGCCAGCTCGATGCAATCCGAGAGGTCCTTCATCCAGCGCCGACGCTCCTCCTCAGATCTGGGACAAGCCACCGCCACAATTATTCCACAAGAAGACACACTCAACCAAACCTGGAGGCAATCCTCCATAAAGCCTCAGAGCGGCTGCGAACATTAAGTTAAGGATCCGGTTACCGTATTTACTCGCAGGACATATAGAAGCAAATTTAGGGGGTGCATTCGCTACATCTGGTAATACTTCGAGTTACCATGGCATGCCACAATCACCATACTCTACTTTCTCGGGCACCTTTGGTGTCCCCTTCGCCAAAAAGCACTCTACAATGCCTAGTTTCCACGTCGACGGTGCTCAGCACGAAAGGTGACGTAGCTTCTAAGCCTAACTGCCCGCACAATTTTGTTGACCAAAACCAAGATGATGGACCACGGCATGTTTGTCAACATCAATGTAGTCGACAGACAAAACATATCCGAGGGCAGGGTAACTCCTCGAGTCCAGCTCTGTCGGCCGTGCGTGCTGCGTGACCACGCATGCTGATCGCTTCTGCAACTTCCCACTTCTATACGAATACCACTGCCACAGCAGGCATGTGCATGCGGACCACTGTGCTCGGCTCGATGGCGCAATTACCTTGGCGACTTGGCTTTTTTTTAGTGTGCTTAATTGCTCGTTTTACGATCGCGTAGATAGGAGAGGTGAAGCTTGCACGGCTACGTCTTAGGCGTGCTCGGCGTTATTGCGAGGCCTGTTCGTGCTCCCAGAATTGCCAGACTTCTGGAGCACCCAAAACAATCCTTCTAATTAATTAACCAGACTCTAAGCAAAACTCAGAATTACTGCATATTTATTTCCGAATACTCGCACATACAATTGCAGGCATTGCAACCATGCCTCAAACTATCAGAAAATTCGAGAAAGCGACGGAATCACTGGGAGTCGAAGGAAAATGAGAGCGTTGCGAGAAAACACGTGGGTGCGCAAACCGGTGAATGAAGCGAAAGAAAATAAAAAATGTGTCCATTATGTGCGGAAAAAACATAAAGAAAAAGAATTTTGATGACCATCGCTGTTATTATGCGAGTAACTATGGTAAGCCTATTACTGAAACATCATTTTGCTACGGTACTTGGTTTAAGTCCCAAAGCGAAATGTCGACCGTTGCTCTGAGGTTTTTTCCGAACTTTGGTAAGCAGCTTGAACCAGTATCGTGACTTCTCAACGCTCATTCAAACTAATGGAACACTACCTAGTCCAGTATTTATGTGTCCTGACAGACACATAAATAGTGCTCGTTAGGGGTGAACGTGTGCCTTCTGTTTCCATTTAAGAGTTGAAAATTTTGCACGTTGACAATTTAACCAGGATATGACAAGGAATTTCGCTTTTAAACATTAAAGCCCTATGTGCAAAAATAAATTCTTTGAGACAAAATTAATTTTTTTCTTCGGTTCACCCTCCCACTTCCTTCTCACTTCTTTACGTCCTTCTCGCATGCTAAGCGTCTGAGCGGCTTATAACCCTCAAACCTGAACAGTGGGGATATGCTGGCCGGAAATGAACCCTGGAAGGGGCTGTTGCTATCGGTTGACTCGGACAATGTGGATCGCTCTTCGGGCTATTCTGTGACTGGCTCACTAGTTTCTTTTCGGGAAGGACCATACTCTGTTCATCCCTAAGCCGACAGTACGGTGGAAGCTGCGGGTTCGTCAGATTAGTCTTTTGTCGGTGTCTTTTTCAAGATGGTGCCAAAGAAGGTTGTGTGTGGAAAGTAGTGATAAGCCAAACTTTTGCCGAATCGAAAATTCGGCGCCGAATCCTTTGATTTGGCAAAGCCAAATTTTTCTAAAGATTCAACAAAGATTCGGCAAAATTACATTGTTGCCAGATTTAAAATTTATATTTATTTTGTGTAGCGAAAAAATTTTTTTTTTTTTAATCTTAAATGCAATTTGTAATGCATATTAACATAGTTATTACTAAATAAGGTGATATTCTACAAGATAATTGTATCGGTGTCATCTTGTGCGTTTATGACAATTTTTACAAAGACTTCTTGTAAAAGTGGTGTGACAACGAGGTTGGGTGGTAGCGGCCGCAGTTGCGCAGTCACGATATGCGAGTTTCGCTTTTAAGGCCTCACGAGCGCGAGCCTGCAAGTGTGGGTATATCGTTAAAATAAAGGCAATAACACTGTGTTCTTAATTTCTTTTGGAGTCATTGTTTTGCACACGAAAACTAACGGGTCACTGTTTTGCACACGAAAACTAAGAAACTGAATTCGTGTATACCGTATTGACTCGCATAAAGAACACACTTTTTTTTCTGAAAAATTTCCACATTTTTGGGGGGGCGTTCATTGTGCGGCATATCCTTTTTGCATTTACACACTTTGTGCGAATGTCTTTTTAGGTGCCAATATAACATGGCAGGGTACTGTGGCACGTATCCACTGATGGAGGCACGCTCATGGCTGGTAGTGGGCGCGCCACAGTAATCATGCTCTATTAGCCCCGAGAGCGAACACAAGCGTCGCTGCGGTCGCCGCGCTCTGATTGGGTGAGGCGTACCGTGACGTCAGGGCGAGTACTCCGCTCCGCGATCTCGCATCGGCTCGCTTCCCAGCACCGGTTTCTTGGTTTGGCGATGTGCGCCGCAAGCTCTTCGAGGAGCTGGACATAGTTTTCCCGGTGTACAAGACGTTAAGTTAGGCCGATATTGACGTGCTCCCGTACATTTTATAAGCCTGCTCGTCCCTTTTATTTTTAAAATTGGGTTACAAATCCCGAAAGCAGTCGACGGAGGCAATTTTGCGAGGGATCGGTGAAGCGGTGCCGCAAGTGTTTCAGGCGCTGGAATTCTGTTCCTTGCACGTTCATCATTTAGGACGATATTACATCCCGCTTTCAAGGCATTTGAAGTGGCATTTATATAATGGGCCTTTGGGTGGTCGGCAAATGAGCTCGCGACTCCGACTTTGCGCTGCCACTCTGCATGCGCTGGTTCGCAGATGTTTCAAAGGCCCTGTGTCTGATTATCTTTGAAGTGCTCATGGAACAGGGTTGTCTTACATAAATGTAGCTTCTTCGTGAATTAATTATATAGTTTATACATGTATGCAGGCATATTTCTTAAAAGATTCCCAATTACTGGAAATTAGTTTGTATGGTAGCAGCAAAGACGGCCGAATTGCCTCCAGTTGCCTGTATGCTATGTATTGAACTGCCCAAAATATGCACAGCAATAGTGCCGTAATTTGGAATGTTTATATTTTTTCCTGACATTTTTATTCCAGCCTTGGGTATTCAGAAAATAACACCGTTTAGTCTGAATTGTCATTTCCACTTAAAAGAGACACTGCTGCAAGTCTCCAAAAGCTTCCTCAGCCTCCGAACTCCTTACAGCTGGACTCTCTGACAACAGAGGAAAGCAGGAGTAAAAGCAAGGATTCGAACGTCTGTCCAGTGGCAGATGCAGCACTAGTAGCATAAAATGTGGAACCTGTGAAGGGCGACAGTCTGCGTGAGAAAAGCTTCTGGTATTTTAGCTTCAGTACATTTCGATTTAAGTAAAATCTCAATTTTAGGACTTAATGGACTAATAACGAGCTAGACACCTTCGCCTACGTTTGTTATACATTACTTGAGGGTTGATATAAACAAGTCCACAGATACCACCCGTGTATTCCATTGAAATACTATCCGAATCCAGCAAAGGTCAAATGCGAGCAAAGTATATAATAAATGTTCCTTGTTTTTTTTCCTTTGCCCCTGCACTTGGGCTGTCTTACTTGTGATTCTCTCCCCATGGCCCAGACTGTATTTAGCATGTTGCTCGAGCAGCATGCAGCTTTTCTGTTTCGGCGATCTTGTTTAAAAACGGAGACACAAAAAAAAAAAAAAAATAGTATACGTAACCTGCCAATTCATCCAAACCATCAGCAGCGTTTATTGTGTGAGATGTAAATCTATAGTGATGCTCCTGCAATTGTGGCCATATTTCTGTATTTTCATATACCAGCTCCGATTCATGCGTTGCCTGCCCTGTCTACCATGCTTAAAATGTTGGTTGAAGTTTCGCCTGTAGCTACAAGCCATACCTCAATAAAGGCACATATAAACGATTATACTTCCTACGAAAAACATGCCAGAAAAAAAAATATAGAAACGAGCGCGCCGACAGCTAGCGTCGTCACAGCCTCCACAGGGCGAGCGGCGCGAGTCGGGGAAAAATTCACTCCTCGCCGTGACGTCACCCCGGTTTGCCGTAAGGGGGCGCCACGCGAACTTCTCGGGGCTAATAGACTGCAAACCTTTTTCGGCACTTTTGGCGTGCCTTTTGCCGAAGAAAAAGCACTGTACGAAGCTCACTCAGCACGGAGAGTAACGCGATCGTTCTTAGGCCTAACCACTTTCACCCACTGTCCGAAAGTGGACCACAGACGACGGCATGTTAATTGACATCAATGCATCGGATAGGCGAAGAATGTCCGGGGCTGGGCAATTCCTCGACCTAAGCTTCGTCAAGTGTGCGTGCCGTTCGGTTTCAAGGTTGATCACTTCTGCAACTACACGTTTGCAGCCACTTGCAGCCATTACGAGAGCGGCTTGGCTTGGCTTGACTTTGCCTGACCGTTTGGCAGCAAAAGAAAATTGACTTGGTGGCTAGCGAAATCGGACGCAATTCGGGACTCGCGGAGCCATAAGTTGGAAGTGCGTTTATTAAGCGAGGGAAAAAAAAAGTCCAAATATTGGTGCCCGTTTTGGGGGGTGCCTTCATTATGCGATATCAATCTCCTCGCTAACTTTAGGGGGAAATACATCGATGGATGGCCAGACAAAATCTGGGGATTGGGGGCAGCATTAAAAAGCATTTAATAAGTTAAAAAGCTGCAACATATTAAAAAAAAAAAAGTTGCTCACAAGAAGAAGAAAAAAAGCTTGATGTTTGTTTGGGAGGTAAGAAGCTTTTTAGACAGCTGTTGAAAGGAACGAATGAACGGAGGACATGCAAGCAGATGCCAGCATGTCGCTTGCTTTCCAGGTATGGGCAGGAGCGTCGTGGGGAAAGACAGGCTTAAAACTGATCCGACAAGCACGTAGCTTCCAACGCGCCATCGGCTTAGGGAAGTCCCCGGGTCAAAGTGAGAGGGGGGAAGTGGGGAAGAAACAAGACGGGGCTTCTGCATCTCGGGATCACCATCAGGTTGCTCAAATCATTGTTTCTAACCCTAAACGTTGCGGGAAAAGGGGCAAGGAGAAAAATGAGGGCTGGCGAGAGTAAGCTTCCTCTTTTATACTCCCTGATTGGCTTTTAAGAAGGTTGAAAAGTGAATGGAGCAAAGGAATGCACGTCCACAGCACTAGAAGCTGCAGTCTCAAATTCTGTCCACCCCCCCCCCCCCCTTCGCCGCTTCACGCCTCATGGACGTCGAGTAACGTTACCGGCTTGTGGCATTCATTTTTCTCAACATTTGGCACAAGGAACAGGCGCCGATTTTACCCGCATAATACCCCGATTTGCTGACAACTATTTTACCGGGATGCAACTTTGGCGCGTGGAACCGTAAAAAAACTTATGCAAAGGAGACAACGTCGGTGCACTAAAGAAAACATTCCATACGAGGCAAGTACCGCGTTCTTAACCCGGTCGTTCGAGCCCATCCGAAGAGAGACGGCGGTATTATTCGTGGTGTCTGCATTATTACCACAAAATGAAGCGTGAGATCTCTGGAATGGAGCTTTTTGCAAGTAATGAGTGCCGTCCGGGGGTTTGTCTGCAAGCTATGAATGAAGGGCGGCACAAAAAGCCTCTGTCCGCCCGTAGGTACTGGGGGGGTAAAGACGCAAGCGGGAGGCGGCAAACCTTGTGTGCCAATGCCAGCAGTACCGAGAGAAAGGAAGAGATAGAGAGCAACGAGAAAGCAAAGAAAGAAAGCGGACTATAAGTTAGGTGTGTCCGTTTTGCAACGCCGGTGTTTTCGTGCAAAATAAAGCTAGGAAAACATGCTAGATACAGACCTTGAAAGTAATGTTTTCCTTCTTCCTGGTGCATATCGAAGCATTACCAGCAAGATCGTCCCGTTGGGACCGCCGATGTCCACATCTAGCTACGTCATGCCCTCCTCAAGCAAATGAAATGTGTGGCACCTTTCCCTCTAGATTATTAACTCTACGGTACAAACACATTGGAGTCGTGCGTCAATTTTCGTAGCTTTCTCTGCCCCATACTACCGATGCTCAAAACGAATGTGGTCAAAAAAGAGGAAACGCGCATGTTTTGACGATGCCAGTCGTGCGGGATGGCGGGAAGGAAGGGGAGAGGGTGCGCGCAAGAGCAGAGGCACGGTGGAGAAAGGTCTTCCGGAGAAGCTGCGTGGGACCCACCCTGCGGCCACCATGAGTGCCCTGTTGCCAGCGTAGATGGTGAAGCGGAAGGCTGCCTCCACCTTCGGCTCAGTCTCCTCCACCATGAGGCTCTGCAGCGGCAGCTGCCCGTGCACCTTGAACTGCAGTCGTGGCCCAGACGTCCGGCTGGCGTAGATCAGCACGTCCGAGAACTGCCCCGGATGTGCGTCGTTGCATTCATTCGGGAGAAAGGCATTTTCTTTCCAGAGAATTATCCGAACGATTAGGGTTGACCTACAACGAGGGTTTGCCGAAAAGTAACCCTCGAGTTGGTGCGATCGAAATTTGGGAAAACCAAAAAGTACTGTCAAACACGATTATACTGAACCCTGTGAATTCGAACTATCCTTTGTATCGAACAATTTCTGAACAGACTAGTAACTGAACTCAAAATGCTAGCAAAATCCTTTCAGCCTTTCCACTCTGGCAAAGAAGGAAGAGCAGCGAAATTGTACTATGTGCCGCCATCTATGAGCGACGGCGACAACCACCAAGCTGGTTATCTGGTTGCCGCCTACACCTATAGATGGCTGTAGCTGTCGAAAGGGTTGTGTTGAGATCTATTTGTCCACGGACACGAAACTGGGGAAACTAGCCCTTAACAACTCTGCTGTAAAAATGCAGTTACATGAACTGCCAAGAGTGCCGTTTCGCCCTGCAAGCTGGCTTTCCTTCCATCAAACAACCACGTCAACCGACCAGAAAAAAAAAAAAAAATTTCTTTTGCGAATGAAGCGTAGAGGGGGTGAGCCGGCGAGACCTTGAAAAACGAAGAAGTGGCCACTGAATAGCCGCGTGGTACATCCCTCATGACGAACAGACGCTCCTTTGAGCTTAAACAAGTTTTCTAAATGTGGCGTGCTTGTTTGTTGTCAAATTCCTTAAAACTTTTATATCGAATTACCCGCTCTATGTATCAGGCAGACAGTTTTTTTTGTGACTTCAATATAAACGGGTTTAACTGTACAACATCTTTGCGGTTTTTTTGTGTGTGCTTTTGTTTTCGTATTGTTCCTCCCTGGATAAAAAGTACTGCTCTTCTGTGGGCGTGCTATGTGTGTTTGCCGTTAAATATTGATTTGTTGGCTCATGAAGCTCTTAAAAAAACAGTGAAATGAAAAAAAAAAAAATTAAGTGCTTAAATGGGACATATTTTATTTTTGTAAATTTTTTCACGAAGAAACATCTTTTTGTACAAATATTTACTTTGTGAGACACCCTTTAGCTGTGAATAGCCCTGCTCTAAGCTTTGTCCAGTGCTAGATAACTAAGCACCTTTTCTCGCCTCTCGTCAGTTGGAGAGATGATTGATGTGTGAAATGTTTGTTGTAAAGCTGTAACTCCGTGCCATAATAGTATTTTAATCGACAATCTTGTTTGAGAAACAAATAATCTAGATAGAGTCCTTACTGGTTTCAAAAATATCTTAAGATTGCCTTTTCTGCATCGGTGTGGAATGATAATGAACATGGCTGCCGGCGTCTGCAAAGTGCCCAATGAGCGCAGCTCGTTTTGCGTTCACAGAGGTGTTTAGAGGAAGATCTCAACCATTGTACTTTGCGACAAACAACTGTTGCAAGTATGTGCCTTCAGAGGCGCCGTGCGGGCAATTGACTAGGATGAGACCAACTTGAACTTGGGAGAGGAACTTGGGAGCAGCAAGCTGGCCCTATCCTAGTTAGACTAGCTCAACTCAAGCCCGTTATGCTGGAGCTTGTCTTCAGAGTGGGACTGGCGTTAGCGTCCCATGTCAACTATGTTGCTTGACCTGGCTCCACATGCGATGACGTTAAATAAAGATGTTGGTTCGCATAAGAGCGGCCGCACAGTTCAGTAAATTGGGCAACTGTCGAGATTGCAGCCATGGTTTCAATACCGAGAAGACAACTACACAGGTAAGAAATCGAAAGCTACTTGGCTCGAAAGGCAAGTAGCTCTCAATATTTCCAGTGTACCTGGCCTGCCAAAGCGAATATTTTTAGGTCGCGTTTTAAATGTACGTTGTGACGATTACCCACCTTGCTAGCAGACGTCACGCAAAAGAAATAACGAGAACAAAAAAGCTGGAAAGACTACTTATTTATTTTGTTGATTTTTTTAGTCCTCTCAGTCGCTTTTTACCGCACATCGACAGCCGCTGACAGACGTTTGTATGGAGCGTGGCTCGTGCATGATGGAACGCTAAAACGCCGCTTTAATGGTCGAGCCTTGCGAGCGTTGCAAAAGTTTTTAGACGAGGGCGGAATAGCAGACGGACAAAGGTGGGAACGGACGCGGACGGGCAGCGTTAATGTCCATGTCCTCTGGGCACGACAGGCGACGATAGATGGTGGTGAAATAGCAGACAATGCTGGAGGCTGCCGTGCATCTGCTCGCACAACTAGCAGACGTTGTCAGACGCCAGACTAGATGTGTCGGGAAAGGGAGACGCTAGGCTCGTTAGCGTGTCCAGTTGAGGAGCCAAGCCAACCTAGCAGTAATCGGCGGGGTAACTGATCTGTGGGCGGGGCTTAGAGCGGGCCTGGACCTCCACCTAATTTATGTCTGACGGCGTAAATATTGTGCAAAATTTATTCCAAAAAAAATTGTGTGTCCCAATTACCGTATTTACACGAATGTAGGCCGGCCCATTTTTCAATTTTTGAAAATGTGACGGGGGGGGGGTCGACTTATAATCAAACCAAAGCATTCCACCTCTGACAAAAATGAAACAATTGCGATATCAAGAACACCTTCACTTGTTACGAGTTCAGCCAGCTGTGTCTGCAGCATTGCGATACTCTGCGCGCTCAATTTACATATTTTTTATTTTTTTATTTGTGCGAACAAGTATTATTGATAGCGATTCGCAAATTAACCCGAATGTACGGCGGTAAACAGTGCCCGACTTCCGGGGGTGGCGGCACTTCTTGTAAGAGCCACCTTGGAGGCTGCTGGAACAGCCTCACGCCTCACTCCCCGCGGCGTCTTTTCGCAGTTTTTCACGCGATCCACAGTCGCATGTAGTTCAATCGAGTGTCGAGATCATGCTGGAGGGCTAACTACGTTTTTTTTCTTGTACTGACATGCATGATCTGGGCAGTTTATGTTTTCGGTGCTCAATTGTGGCCATTCTTCACCCATAAACAACCAACAACTGCGCTGTGGGACGCAAGTTCGACCCGTTGGAGCGGGCGATGCTCCAGCAGAGTTTGCAATGGCGCGGGATCTAAAGTGTGACGGCAAACGAAGAGGCTTCCGCGGGCCAAAGGCTTGCAACATACGCCACAAAAGTGTGGAATCGGTCCCTACCAGTGACGTGCAATGCGGTCACCGAGCAAGCGCGGAAGATGCAATCATTTGCAAAGTGGGAAATTTCGTCGGACGCCACCGACGATGTGCTTCGAGAACATGTGCTTCGAGCAGTGATGACGATGGGACCGACATCACCAGTGCAGACGAGTCGCAGTCTAGTTGCGGATGGAGTGAGAACAAATGGGAGCAGCTTCAGTTGTCCCGCCTCCAGTGTGAACTTCCTAGTTTCGATAACGTCTGGGCATCTCATGCACCTCGCGCGTGCGTGCGCAGCAAAAACACGCCAGAAGGCATCGATCGCGTGTTGGAGGATGGGCTTTCGAAACAGATACTTTGCCATTCTCACTTGTTCGCAGTAAAATAAGCATCTATATTTTTTCTTTCTTTTGCTGATGTGCGATGTGGGAAGGTTGACTTACAATCGTGTAAATACAATATGTTCTTTAAAAAAAAAAACTTTTTTTTTTTTTTTTTTTCATTGCAGTGTCGCTTTAAAGTGAAACATAGTATCAGTTTTTGGTTACATGCCCTAGGTTTTGCTGAATTGCAGGGGGGAGAAAAGGATCGCCAGTTTCCTCTCTGCCGGCTTCATTTTAACAGTTCCACTAATTAACCTCCCTGGACAATTAGGAAACACATTTTTTTGTGCCACGCCAGTCGAGACTTACCAAGAAGAACATTCTTTGCTGGTAACCCTTCCTCGACAGCTTCTGGAGGCAACCCTCCCTCACAAACTCCTGCAACAAAGACAAACAACACCCCGACTCCTCGCATTCAAAAAGAAATGAAACGAAAAACAACTAATCAAGGACGAGTGGCTGTTTGGGCTAGTTTGCTGGTCATTTCATAAAACTTGTGCATGCGCAGCAAAGACAAGGACGAAGAGAGGACAGAACACAAACGAGGTGTAACTTTCAACTGATTTTTATTTAAACTTGTTCCGGTATTTGTAATCAACCCTTGTCACAAAACGCAACATAAAGCAACCATCACAGAAAATGCACAAGGTACAGCCTCATCTCGATTTCAAGAAAGCAGGCTCTTCTCAGATAGCGCTATCGAAGGCATAGCTATGATCGTATTGCCTAAATAATCAATGTGCTCTGCTTCAACAATTTCATGCATATTATTCTAGTCATGCTTCTGTTTCCAATTGTAATGCATCTATCAAACAGTGGGGCACAACTGCAAGCCCTGCAATGTATGTCAAGAAAGCCACCGTTGTGCTTTTGCACACTGAGACAGTGTTCGCAAAGCTGATCATTTAGGCAGCGCCCTGTTTGCCCGACGTAAAGGTAGTGTTTTCTGCAACCAATGAGCTCATAACCTGTGCAAACTAACAAAGCCTGACGTGCTGCCAAACACAGATGAGAAAACAAGCACCAAACTGCATGGTGTATCGCATTCTGCTGTCCTGCCGAAAGCAGTACAGTGGAATTTCGTTATTTCAAACTCTCTTAATTCAATCACGCGGATAATTGAAACCAATGTGCAGGTCCCATCCTATGTGTTTCTAGAGAGGAAACTCCCGGTAATTCAAACTTTTCATTATTCAAACAATGTTTTGGTCCCTCTCTGGTTCAAATTAACGAGATTCCACTGTACGTCAGGCAGACAGGGTGCTGCCTAAATGATCGGCTTCACGAACACTGCAACAATGTGCAAAAACATAACTGTGGCTTTCTTGACATACATTGCAGGAGTTGCAGTTGTGCCCCAGTGTTTGATAGATGCGTTACAATTAAAAATAGAAGCAAGGGTACGATAACACGTGAAATTGTAGAAGCTGATTGCGTTGATTACTTAAGCGATACGTCTCTCACTATGCCTTCGACAGCGCTATCTGAAAAGGTATGTCTAGACCAGGGGTGGCCAAACCGCGGCTCGCGAGCCGCATGCGGCTCTTTGCTGGTCTAAGTGCGGCTCGCGGATTCCTCGTAGGGGACCTCCCCCCCCCCCCCCCACCTTTCGCTCCTTTCCGCGTTGCCCCAGGAAAAAAAGAAAAGATTTCGAAATAAAGCACAGTTGCGGTTTGACAGCCTTGTGCCCCCATACGTACAGTCAGGCTCTATACAAAATTTAAGTTTGCCCCCCCCCCCCCCCCCCATCCCCAGCCCCAGCCCCAGCCCCCCCCCCCCCCCCCCCCGCGGCTCTTAGAAGTTTCGTGGGTTTGTTTGCGGCTCTTCAGCCGGGTCAGCCTGGCCACCCCTGGTCTAGACTGTGAATTAACAAGTGCAAATGACTAAGAGAAGAAGGGGACAGGACAGAGCACTTGCAACTATGAATTTAATGGAGCATGTACAGAAAGACAATGTGGAAGGGAAAAAGCAGGAGAGAAAGAAATAAACTCTCAGCTGCCACTAAGACAACATATTTAGCTTTAGAAATAAAAAAAATAAAAGGAAAAGAACTTTCAGCTTTTTCACTTTGGTGAAAAGGAAGAGCAGCGGAGCTGTAGCTTCTGTTCTCGGCGGTGGCCTTCCAGGCGAGCGATCTGTACTTCTTTGGCAAGAAAATCTGAAGCGCTCGACACACGCGGTGGTTGCGGACCCATCCGCGCTGCCGTTTACGTTGCCGCTCCTTCCTAAACCTGTTCCCTTTCCTCGAAGAAAGGGAACGCGGCCGACGCATCGTGAGTCCAAACCGAAACTGATAAGAGCATAGGGAACAGCGCGCAAAAGAGACGAGGACAAAGAAGAAACACAAGCGACGTGCGCTGCGCTCGTCACGTGTGTTTCTTCTTCATTCTCGTCTGTTTTCTGCGCCTGTGTCCTACGATAAATTCACACAAACTCGCCCAACTATCCATTCTTCTATAATAGCTGGAAAGGTTGCCGCCATCTAGGAGCGATGGCGGTAACCAGACTGGTTGCCTGGTTGCCGTCGTCGCTTATAGATGGCGGTAGCTGTCCAGAGGTTTGTGTAGGTTTGTGCAGAAATTTCTTTGGTACCGGACACAATCCTGGGGAACCTAGCCCTTAACAGCTCAGCTGTAATTATTTTACGACAAAACTTTAAGACAAAAAAGTTGTAATGACATGGATGCTGAGAGCACCACATCCTATGTCGGCACCCTGAGGAGCAGAATCTCTCTCTCTCCTTTTAGTCATTTGCACTTGCTAATTTCTCTTCTTAGTCATCTGCACTTGTTAATTCACAGTCTGCATGTTCAACCAACTAGCCCCCCAATCGATCTTGATGCTATCTGGAAAGGAGCTTGCTTTCCTAAGATCGAGATAATGCTGTACCCTGCGCATGCTCTGCAATGGTTGTTCTGTGTTGTGTTTTGAGACGAGGGTTGATTACAAATACCGTAACAAGTTTCAATAAAAATCAGTTGGAAGTTGCACCTCGTTTGTGTGCTGGCCTCCCTTCATCGTCGTCCCTGCTGCGCACATGCAAGTTTTATGAAATCAAAAACAGTAAAAGAAAAGTGGAGGGAGAGAAAGAGTAAAAACATCAGTGCTAACCCTTCCAGGTTGCACCAAGTTATCGAGGCCCGTCAGATCTCGCTGAAGCTCCATCATCTTGACCTGATTCTCCTGGAGGGACAAATCAGAAACCTTATTGCACCACCCACCGCACTTCCCAAAAAGCATACACCCTCTTAACGTCATCTGCTGCTAATGTGGTGAGGTGAGGCAGTTAGTATAATGACAACATATTAAAACAGTGCACAAGCAAAGAGGAAGAGAACTCAGAGCGCCGTGTACTCTTCCCCTCTGCTTGCGTGCTGTTTTAGTATGTCCAGTGCATGCATGAGTGTTCGATACAAGAGAACACATACCAACTTGTGAGTGGCTTCCTTGTGAGAGTTGGTGAACCTCTTCAACTTGTGGAGTACGTCTGTGAAGTGCACACCATGGAGCTTAAGGACCAAGCTTTTGCAGAGAACGCGCACGCTCCAGGCTTACCCGAGCAGGAGTTCTTGTCGGAATGGTTGGACTCGTAGCTCCCGTGAAGTCCTATAAAACATTCAAATTAACCCTAAGTTCCGGTGTTGTTAGCTAAAAGAATGTGTGTTTAGGTACACAGAGGCTAAAGCCTAATTTGGGGGCCAAACAAGTCAAACCAACAAAGAGCGTATGGCACGATCCAGCAAAGAACTGGGGAATAAATTCAACAACTTGGGGATCTTTAGGAGTGGAAGTCTCGGTTGCGTGAGTCCGAAAAGGAAAGGGGACCCTGAGGGTTCCCCGAGTGCCCCTGCGAGTTCCCCGCCGACGGACTTCGCGAGAATAAATGCGTTTGCTAAGGAACGTCTGCCACGTAGTCACAAATTGATGGATGGCAGAGATCTTCCGGAATAGCGTTTAAATTGGGCAGTTTGAAGGAGCTGTGCGACGATTTCAGTGCTTTGCTTCAATAATTTGGGAGTTGGTGTCTCGACCTTTCTGAAGTAAAGAACAAAAAAAACAAAAACACTTTTGCCTGCATGTCCTAGTTTTATTTTAAAAACTGACAAAGATTAAAGTTTTCGGCACCTCATAACTCCTTCACCATCTTCTTTCAAGTCAAGTGCGCTGTGACGTGAATGGGGGACGCGTAGGGTTCCAGTGAAGCTCTCTCTATAGACCTTTCCAGAAAAAGCTCTCTGGCCGCTGCCATTTTGCGAACCGAGCGACCCCTATCAGCCAGAAATTTCTGCCACCTGCCTGAGCTGTGGAAACCCGGTCAGCGGGACTCCGCAGCTGCATTGTGCATTCAGAGTTCGCCGGCTTTTCTTAGAAATTTTTACTTTATTTGCCTGCTTAGGATGCTTACCCTTTGTGTGTTGTCTTCCACTGTGAGAACCAGGGACTACCAGGGCTCGTAGCCTGCTCGGCCTTCGCAAGAAACGAACGAAGAGAGCGAGTGTCAAGCAGCCTGCGACGCGGGCAGCTCGACGTTCTTCGAGGATTATTTCCGTTGAGATAATCTCCGAAAAGCCCCCCTGGCTACGTTCCCGGTCTTGGCGAGAAGTAGCTGATAGGGTCGGGTCCGGGGTGTGGAAACGGAAGAGAAACATTCGTTCATTTGCTTTGAAGCTGTGCAAAAAGCAGCTCCTTTCTACATGTGCCCAAAAAACGCCGGATTCCGTCCGATCGTCGTGAAGTTACTGTCGTCGACACTTTATTGGATATGCTGTGTTATTTGAAACCTTTCTCAAGTCCTGTTCGGATAACGCGGCACCGTGGGGTACGTACAATATATGGTGTTCGATTGATGAGACTCGTTGATTTTTATGTTGTGGGTGGGGAATATGCATGCAGTTGGAATATCGTGTGTGGTCAAATATTTTCGACGGTTAAAACCTTTGTAGATTGACACGGCTAAGTGTATGGTGCCGTAAAGAGATCAACATAAAATAGAACGAACATTCCAGTTGCATTTGTTCTGTCGCTCATGGACTCACCAAAACAGCTTTCATTGCTTTGTTTTTCTTCCCAAAAATAGTACAATGTATTCTTAAAGAAACGCCGAGAAATTCTATTCACCATAGAACACAAAAGAAAAATAAAACACGGCAATTTAGCCTCCACCAGCGTCCGGAAGTGCGCCTACGCAGGCTGCCACAGCCCCCTGACGAGAAACTCCACAGCTCAGCGCATTCGGGCAACACTGACCTACCCTCTCAAAACCAGGCACGCGCGCTGTAAATCGCTTCGTTCGAGACTGCCGCTGGAAAGGTCTATAGAGCGATCAGTGAGCAGAGATAACTGACCCGCTCACGACCACGCGATTGTGTACTTGTGCGGCCAGCGCGATCAACGTGGCGGAAGGAGAAAAGTCTCGTACGAGTCCAGCCATCCCCGTCCGGCACAGCACCCCTTCCCGTCTGGCTTCTGGCGGCTGTTTGCGATAGCTGATAGAGCTGACTGTTTTGTTGACCTCAGAGAGATGGCGCCACTAAAACTCCGCATAATAAAAGTTTTGTCGACAATACCAGGTTTTTGACGCATTTATAGTTATGTTGGAACGAGGAGATTTATAGAAAAATTACCTTTTATTGAGCAGCTATTTGCACAATTTCCTATCTTGCTACAAGTCCCCCAATGACATCACACCGCGTGGCTCTCATGGCCGCTGCTCGCGGCTACAGGTCAGGAAATATTCTAATTCCTGCCTCGCGATTATGCGGCAGAATCGGAACATTTCAAAGGAAGAAGATGTGTTTTCTGTCCTTTGCGACAAGATGAACAATGTCAAAAGTAGAAGATGCAAACTCTTTCAACGTTAAAATCGTTGCAGAGCTCCTTTAACGGGGCGGGGATGGCCGAGACAATCTGGGAGCTCAGTATCAGGTAGCGGTGGCCTCACGCTCCACGAGGCCGCACAGCTGCAGGGGCCGGTGCACGGGGTGCAGCAGGAAGGCGGCCAGAGGCAGGTAGCACTCTCCCTGGAGCTCAAAGTCCCGGTACGCGTCCTCGAAGGCCCCGCCGTGGCAGCAGCTGCTCCACAGGCGCTCCAGCACCCGGGGCAGCTTGTCCATGTACCGCTCGTACAGCTGGGACCGGGGGGAGGGCGTGACGCGGTACTCCTTTGGGATTTGCACCTCGTACCGTTCGAGGGCTCATTGCTGCTCACGACTGGAGAGGCTAAAAATTGGTTTTACTGCTTGTGACCGCTGCACAGATGGTTGCAAGCAGTCGCGAGAGGCTTAAAATTGTTTTTTAGCCTCTCCGGCCGTAGGCAGCTGTGAGTGTGAGTTTTAAAGGGGCACTGACACCCCAAAGGTCGTATTTATTTTTATTGTCTAAAACGATGCAAGTTGCAGCCATAGACACGCAAAAAAAACCGCATCGCGAAAAAAAATTTTCCCGCGCGCACGCGCCCCTTTTTATTTTTGGCGTTTGATTTTCCCGCCTCTCGCCTCCTCGCTTCTTTTGATCGGTGACGTCAAAAATCAGGAAATTTAGAAGCTTTGTAGGCGACATCTCTATAACATTTAATTACGGCAATCCTAGAACATGTTTTTTAACGCAATTGCGAACGCACTACGGCCCTTCTTTTTGAAATACCAAAAATCAGGAGTTCGTTGTGGTGCCGTCTCCTGGATTTGTATCCTCTAACGGAAAACAGGCGACACCGCTCAAAACCGGTCCGCCACAACGCCGGCGCTCGCTCCTTTCCTCCTCGCTTTGGGTCGCCATGGCAACAGCAGGGAGTGGTGACAGGAAAGGGGACTCTCAGGTCTCCGCAATTTTTGACGTCAAGGCACCGGCGCCGATCGCGCGGGAACTTCGAATTCGGCATTTGGAAATTGTTTTTTTACTTCACGAATACTGAATTCCCAAATTTCAAATTTTGAGGGTAATGTCCCGGCATCGTTTTCGACCGTTTCGGATAATAAAAAAAAATATGATTTTGATGTGTCAGTGCCCCTTTAAGAAAAGTCTAAAAAAAGTAGAAATTCATCACCACCAACTGAAAGATTAAATTTTGTAGTGTTTTTTTTTACCTAGCTACATACTGCAATTAGGTGGCAGTACACGTGGCCTACGCAACTGGAAATAGATACTGTAAACTGCCAAATTTTTGCGGGAACATAATTTTTCTGAGTAATGAGGTTTGTAAAACACGACAGAAAAATTTATCCTGACCTGTGGTTGCCTCATGGTGACGAACACATCACTCCCGCTCGCAAAGTTTTGTGCCCGCAAATTATTTCCAAAATCCACACTTTGCAAAATTCTCGAAATATTACAGAGCCTGCAAAAATAGTAATTTACAGCATTTCTTGTTTAAATGAGTCCATATCTTTCCTAACTCTCAACATTCGCAGAAAACTTTACCGGCTCTCTTTATATTACAAACTGTACCCATGGTCACCTAGAACATTTATTTCCTAGGCTCATCGTAGTTCCTCTCACCTAGATCATTCTTGTAAAGTTGAAGCCTTTTCCAGAACTAACGCCTAGAAATAATCACCCCTCCCACCATGCATTTCTGATTGGAACAGTCCGCCCTCATGCTTGGTGGTAACAAGTGACTACAACTATTTCATACAGGGGATTGTCCAGTTGGTTGAATAATGTCTGTATATAAAAATGCTTTTCCTTCATATCCTCTTTCGGAAATTTTTTTCCCCCAATATTGTTATTGAGTATCTGACTTTGATGTAATGCCTCTTCTAGAGGCCTTTAAGGTAATAAAATGAAATGAAACTGATGGTTACCGTGGCTGACAATTTGTTCCCGAAAAGAGCTTATTTTTTTCTCAACACCCCCATTTGTAGGGATGTTTGAAAGCATTATGTATTCTACATTCATGGTAACAGTTAAAACGAGTGCTCCTCTAACTAGAGATGCCACAAAGTTTTTTTCCAACCTGAGCTTCAAAGATCAAACCAAGGAAAGGCTGGAATTGTCTCAAATTTTCAAACCTTTTACATTAAAAAAGTTCTGCAATTTCTTAATTTTTTAGTCTAAGAAATTTGCTCAGCTCTTAACTTTCAAATTTAGCGCGATAGGAAATTCGACAATTTTCCAACTTATTGCACTAAGAAATGAGGCAAATTTAAAACCAGCGAAGTTAAAATTTTCTGATAAACTTGGAACTTCCGAACCAAAGTTGGAGAAAGTTGGAACCATCTCTACCCTCAAGGGTTTACACCGCAGAGTGGAAAGAACCTTCAGTTAGCCGATCTTAGGTGGTGCCACGGTGCCACGGACAACTCGCTTCGGGGTGGCCCCAGCCTGATGTCCCGTACCCAACATATTTTAATTCAGTTTTCCCACTGAGCCTCTTGCATATGAAACTCTGCAGGTTACCCCAAAGTAACGTGCGATCCGACAGCAACACTCTTTGGGGTGTTGTTCGTAACCTTAGTTGTTTTTGAATGCAAGTGCCCCAATTTACTCATGGAAGCGACTCGTCGGGAAAAGGCACGCTCAGGGAACGATGTCGACGTGCAACAATGAACGCGGTGCTTCCTCGATTATCATTTGTCATATAATATTTGAGTGGCCAGCTGCACCTATGAGTAACTAGCACGATGCATTCGTCGAAGGAAAGTATGGCAAGCCATCAACGTGCAGAGCCCGATCTACGACCAATCGTGACCCGATCAGCTGTGTTTTTGGAGGACCAGGGGGCCCCAGAGTTTCGTCTGATTGCATGCTCCTCAACCTTGAACTGTGTCAGATGCTGTGTCTTTGCGTCCAGCGTTTTCTCCATCCCGTGGCATACTCCACCGGAGGCAAACACAAGGAGCAAATATAACTCCCGGGAAGCCTCGGTGCCCATATGTTTGTTTTTTACTTTTTGCTTAACTGGTCACCCGTTCCGAACGCTTGTTTTCCGAGTTGTGATAGGTAGCGAGTAGTACTCTAAGTATGACAGACACTAGCGAGAAGGAAGGTTTTTACGAGAGAAAAGAAATGTGCTTAGGTTTAAGTGAAATTTGTCGCAGATTTCTAAAAGGAATCCGCGAAAACCTTTTTATTAGAAACTGTGGTATTTGATTTCCGTCTAATATTTGAAGACTTAAAACCCAAATTCAAAATCTTATAACCTTCACACCTTTCCCTCGATATTTTTTTTTTTAATCTTCGAAGTTTTCTAACTTGGTCCTCAAACAAATTTAAACTTTAAAATTTTTCAAACTTGATTTTTGTAACTTGATCTGTAAAGATGTTTAAAAACCTCAAACCCAAATTTTCAGAAGCCTTGTCTTCTTCTAACCTTTCAAATTTGAACCTCAGCAGGTTCACAACATCCCTACTTGTAACCTTGTACCAAAGCTTGATGACTGATTTTTTTTCCACTTGAAATAAAATGAAGGGATTCAGGAAGGTCGGTCAGAGTCCTTCCATACGCTACTGGTCACGAAAGCTCGGCCAAACTTTGGTACAGGGTCAAAAACTACAGCCAGGAGTGCCACGGTTCCAGGCGGGAAAAGGGAATTTAGTCACCCCACTCCCAGTGCGCAACCCCAAGTTCGTAATTAGAAGTAGTTTTAAAAAAACATTATTTCTTGTAGATCTACAAACATCTACATTTTTGTACACCTGCATTTGACCACTGTATGCAAGCACCCGTCATTCTTTGTTGATCTCTGATAATAAAACCTAGAGATAAGACTTTTTTGTTTGTTTTTCGTGTTTTTGCAAGCGAAAAAAAGCCAGGCAATAAATAGACCCTTTCCGAAATTCAGTGCCATCTGGTGGCTGAAATGGCGGTTTAACTTTGGCCGTATTAACGGTGGCAGTGAACCTGTAGTCTGAAATATTTTCTCGGGCACCGTCACTTTCACAGGTTAACGGCAAACAAGAATGTGCTCCTCTTCACTGTGTACAGTCTTTTCTCAATCATCTCTTTCAGTGTTGATAGCCACAAAGATGCAATCAGTCAGAACGAAGTGCCAACCCAGATAGGCACCTTGATAAAGTTATATACATCAAGGGGCTTTGAAGGTGTTTCTGTGCTGCTAATAAATTGACTGGGCCCAATTTACAGAAATGAACGCCTACGCAGCTCTTTCATTCAATTCCTTCTTTGCAACGTGCTAACGTCTCGAATGCATAAGCCTCGAATCCTCAGCTTAGAAGTACCTTTAACTTGTTCCTTCATCAGTAAACAGAAGGTCACCATTAGTACGGCACATATGCCATTTTTTAGATGATGATGATAGTGATCAAAGTGGCCAGACTGAATTTCGGAAAAGGTCTATCGAGCGTACGAACTCGCAGCGCCTCACTTGATGGCTCTAGTCACGACGCTCAAGTTTCACGGCAAGAGCAGTATTGAGGATTCATTTCAAGGCAACAAGAGGAATGAAGTATTATATTATTTTGGAGGTCGCTGAAAAGGAAGTTTGATCAGTTGACTGATTGTAAAAGAGCTGAAGACGCTTACTTTAACGAGAAACACTCTCAGTGCGACGACGCGTGTCACCGCGTTTTAATGGTGACACGTTCAGAGTGGGTTTGAAATTTCGATACCACTTTCTGGTTGCCGGACTCTCAACGGTGCCGGCTAGATTGGTGACTCTCAGCCCCCTCGTCAACGCTGGCACCATGCAGGTCGCGTACCAAGCTTTCCCATAGCGCTAGGGAGATGTTTTGTGACGCATAATGAAGGACTCTGGCTCGGTGCTTTAGACGTAGAGCATGGGCTCTCAACTCTGGTTTCAAGGACATACCCGTGGGTTCTATGAAGTATTGCCACAAGAGTTTATACACACCTAAACTCCCTTATCGCATATCTGTCGAGGGAGGTATTCTTTGGCTCCCCCTCGAGGTAGCCAAGCATTTCTCGAGATGGAAAAATCTAAGCAACCCCAATCTTGAGTCTCTATGGCAGGTAAACTAATGGGCATACTTGTCAGATCAACAGAAACAATACTGCGTGGCCCTAGGTTTCTTCTAGCAAACCTCACCTCAACCATGTGAAGGTAGTCCAGAAGCAGCCCACCAATTCCCTGCACGTTCGAATAGCTTGTGGGAATGGGCTTGCCCTCCCTGGAAAGGAAACAAAGGTTTTTGATGCAAGAAGCTCATACCAACAGCTGAAAGCTGGATCGCCAAGAGCGCAGATGAATCACTTCCATTTGAAAGAATAAGACCGCAAAGAACAAGGACGGATGACCGCCCTCTTTATTGAAAGAGGGTGGCCGTCTGTCTATATCTTTCTTTCAAGCCGAAGTACAAGCCGAAAGCTTGGAAGCAAGATGGACGTATCCCTCATGAAGGTAATTTCAGATATGGACCATAGGCCGGGGATTGGAGACCCCTGACTTAGGCAATCGCATAATCACATGACCTCAAGCGGTTACACAATCGCAAAACCTATTGCGATTACGCGATCATGTAACCTATTACGACCACATGCTAACGTAACCTACAGTGATTATGCAATCAAGTAACCTACGGCGATTACATAGACACGGCATTCCTCCCACCACTGGGGCAACAAAGTTTTTGCAGCAACGCACGAATGTGGCAACTATATAACCACAATAATCGAGGAATAGCGTGGCACATGTCGGCCACCGGTGCGCTTGGGGCGCCACTCACCAGGCGGCCAGGCGCTGCTCCAGGTCGAGAAGCAGGCAGCAGTGCAGCTTGTACAGCGGGGCCAGAAGCGAGAAAAGCAGCGACAGGGTTTCCGTGGGTGCTCCCTCCACGTGCCCCTTCTCCATCCGCTCCCGGAACCACTGCGAGGGTGCTCTTTCCTTTCCACAACCTTTCACATCACCTCATAGAGCCCGGGGGCCCATTTCGGGGGGAAGGGGGCTTTTGTTTACAGAGAAAAATTATTTAGGCTCCATCATGCTCACAAAGACTGCTAAGCACAAAATGTGCGATAGGCCTTTCAGGGAAGATGAGAAGGGCGTCTCAACGGCACTGCCCACCGAAAATTCGTTTGCATTTTTGACACATGCTGTGAGATGGTGCTACTCAACAGGAAAGGCAGCGAAGCGCGAGAGCTTGATCACGCGCCGCGCGAATGAGCTTGCTTTTCCATGGTCCATACTACCCATTTTTTTTTAGCTCAGTCGGCAAAGCACTTGGCTCACAATCTCGAGGAGGTGAGTTCAAATCATGCCGGACGACTGAAGTCTTTTTACGTGGTTTCCTATGGGTGTAATGCTTTTCGTTGTTAGTTTTTTGTTACAAACGGCCACTACAGCCAGCCGTTTCAGCCAGACGTTACAGAACTCCGTGAAAATCCGCGGATAAAACATTCTGTTAACAACCACATACACCATCCTTTTTTGAGAAAGAAATTTTTTAGTTTTGGGAGAAATGGCAATCACACTAGTCAACTAGAACTGGGCAACACACTGCCTATGACGTCATACACATCTGCGACGTCAAATCTCTCCGCAGACCCCCCACCCCGACCCATTCATCCACCTCCGATAGAGCACGTTAGTGGGGACGCTCTTTAGAGTGAGCTGAGACACATGTTGCAACCGTAGTCGGATAAAAATTAATGGTTCTGTTTGGGCGACCAAACTTCTGCCTTTCTGAAAAACGACATTTCAACCAATGATGGTGCACCAAATGCGAGTGAGTGCGTCGAGTGGCAATCCAATGCGCCAGCTTTTTATCGGGCTTTCGCAGAAACTTAACTGACGAGCTACACCACTGCCACGGTGAGACTAGACCAATGCGTGGCACTTCCCTGGTTCGCGGTTAGAGGGGTACCCGTGCGAGGGAGCAATCCGCGCGGGGATGTGCGTGACGTTGACAGCGGGTGCAATTTCTTAATCGGCTTTGCCGTTCACTCCGACAAAGTGCCGAGAGTGAGGGATGGCGGCGTTTGCAGTTTGATTGAGCGGTTTCCACACTTGACACCACCACAGAAGAATTTAGCCGCATCGATCGCAAAAGCCCGACGTTTCGTCGCGTGAGGCGCGCAACGGGATAAAAGTACCCGGGATTTCTCCCCTGTGTGAAAACCCCTTTAAGGGTACTAAAATAGATCTTAGTTCATTTTCTTTATAGCGACGAGTCAATCTATGTGCCCTAAAAATAAAAAAAATTATGATAGTGCTCGGCCTCTTTTTTCTACTAAAATTGCAACCAAACGTTGCAACACACTCCATTTCTGACATGCATCTAAAAAGGGGGTGTCATTAAAGCGGCACTGAAGTGGATTCCGAGATCACCTTATTAAGGTGATAACTCAATCTACGGGCTCCAAGCATCCTAAAAAAAACTAAATTACACTCATGGGTGGCTGATTTTCTGATTAAAAATCTAATCAAAGATTGTGACGAACTCCTCTTTCCGTGCCTTGGAGCAGACACCAAAACGCACCGTTGTACAGCGCTGAAAAAAAAAGCTCCAATACGTTATTTACACCCCAAGATTTGACGAAAAACATAATGCACAATGTGCCTAAAAAGACCAATAATAGTTATGTTTGGAATATCCATGCTATAACCTATTTTTATTGGTCAACTTTTATGAAGGTGTTGGGGACCAGAGGATGGGACCCTAAGAAAAAAATAGTGCCAGTGTATTTTTACTGCTGCGATTTAACTAGGACGTCTAGCAGCGTGGAACTGGTAATTTTCATTCACTAAAGCCCTACAAACAATATGCCATCAAAAACAAGCTTCTACAAAAAAGTGCTTGAGTGCCCTTCTAAGTTTAGTCACATTTTATAGACAAGCCGAAGAGAAAAACAATCCTGACCGCCAGATCATCAATGGGAAACCTTTAGAAACAGATGCCAATGCAATGACTCTCAATTTTATGTCACCTAAATTTGGTCTCAATTAATTGTTCAAATCAAGGACGCACCGTGCCACTAAAAGAATAATCTTAAGCGATTGTGTCTATTCTCCTTAATGATCTCAACTTATACCTAATTGAGATTCATGTTTGATGCTTCTTTATTGTTTTGTCCTCACTGATGTTTATACGAAATTCAGCACATTTATGGCTGGTCTGCTCCAGGTTTAGGTCTCGCCCCGGCTGGTGGCTTCCTCGTCTCCAGCATTTGGCCTGCTCAAGCAGAAAGGGGGCAAGGAGCATGACCCGCTGCTCTAAGCCTGACTACGTCTGAAAAATTATCGCCAGCCGTTGCAGCCTACAGCGCAGGAATATCCCGGACTCGTACAACCGGCGAGACATTCAAAGCAAAAAAACTCCTTCTACCGAAAACAAAAAAGAGCGTTTTTGTACTGCCACTCACCATTACAATGACTTCGAGGTCCTTCTTGTACGTCCGCTCTGCCATGAGCAACTCCTTGGCAATGAAATAAGCCTTTTCGCACGGGTATTTCTACAAACAAGAGGCAGGAAGAAAAAGTTGACAAGCTTTTCACGTATCATCGTTTTCTAGAAATCAATCTAGCGAATGTTAAAGGTTAGCTGCATATCACATTGCGCATCAATAGATGATTCTTTTCTGCAGGCCCTTTTCACCACGAGGCACTGTTGTAGCGAGGTGGCCTATTTCATTCTTAAAAATGATTGACGGCACGTCTCGGTGATACGCATGTATGGACTTTCGTTTTTCTGTACTAAATGTCTTCCAAAACATTTGAGCGGGTGTAAGAGGGTTTTTTATGGTGTTCTATCGGGACCGTGCGACGTCTACAGGGGGCTGCAACATTGACTTGGAAGCTCGTTGGCCGCGCCACCAGTGACAGCATCCGCCTTACGTAGCACAATGAAGCGCCGCCCGCTCCGAGTTTTCACCGCGTCTGCGTCATACGCTCGCAAAGTCTTCACAGCGTCTGCGTCTTCCTGTGGCCGTGTTTTCAAGATCTTGTTCCGGACCAGAATGGAGAGTAAAAATAGAGGTTATTTAAATTGCAACGACCTGGCTACGATGACTAAATTATTGCAACCAAACCATACACTTTTCCCCAAAACAATACTGAAAATATTTTCTATTTACCCTTTGTCAATCAGTGTTTGCTTCCCACGGGCATTTATTTTTTATTTAAGGCAAATAATGATCAAGCAGATTTATATCCGGCAGTCATTATAAAAAACACATCTAGCGATAAAGAGTCACGCTTTCATAGCAGAAGCAATTTAAATCATGCCAGTTTGACTTAAATCAAATAAATCTGATTTAAACAAATAAGTCTGATTTAATTTTTTTTTATCTTTATTTTTTTACTTTGTTTCAAAGTAAGGGACCCTGACATTTTAAACATCCTCATGTCCAGCGTTGCTCCGTATGTGTTTTCCGTGATAGGCCTTTTCCCGAATCAAAGCACTCCTGTTGGCACGATGGCACAAAACGAGTTCTGGGTACCAGTTGGCCACTTAGTTCTGGTTTCAGTTTCAGATTTTGTCATGATCGTCATGTCGTGATGAAACACGTCGCTTGCATTTTTACTGCTGCGACTTTTTACGTTCCTACGAGTGTACAATACTGTAGGCGTTGCCGAGAGATATCGAAAAAAACACTTGGCACTGCTTTGAGGCTCCCGACGTGCCGGATTTTGGGCAAATGTAGAATGATGGAGTGCAACGTCCCTGCTGGTGCCGCTGTTGTGCAAGCACGTTTGCACGCGCGTGAAGAAAAGTTATGCAGGCTTTGAAGTTCATGTGCTTGGCTGCAGGAGTGCAGACAGCGGCTGTCCGATCGAAACCGAGACCATGCTACTCTGCACCGTGGCCAACTGGTTCCCAGTGTGCAGCGCGCGCAGTGTTGCATGGAGTGATTTTTGAAGATGGCCTGTCCAACCCGCAGAAGTTGCCGGGAGCTCGGATTCAATTGTGCGTCCCACAGTTGTGAGTGGCAATGGTGGCAAACGTACCGCCACGTTTATCTGTGCTGAACAATGCCTCTGCGTTTGTGTCTTAAATGGTTCGGAAATCGGTATGGGACGGCATTCACCGGTACCAGTAATTGATAAAACCCTTGAGATTAATATTATTAGATCGCTCTTTGCTCGCTGAAGAATCGAGCAGACATACTGGGGTGGAGAAGATTGCAACGCTTTTCACCAGTGCGTGGAAGGGACCTGCGTTCTCAATTTCTGGGTCTCGCGTAAAAACAATTAACGCCAACTGTGCCTCCGAACGCTTTGTATGGCACCGCGCTCGGGCAAGCCGACATTAATTATTAACTTAGCTCGGCTGCTACACTAGGTACCTACGCCCATCCGGCCGTGAGCTATGCAAAATGCATCTTCTAGGAGTTGCACCGTCGCTCTCCCCTCTTGTCGCACGCTTCCAATAAACTGCACCTCACTCAAAAGAATAGAGAGATGAAAGTTTGGCCAGCCTATCGGTTCACCCGAGGTTGGGGTTCTCGGACTCGAGGAACGCCTCGACGTGCGGCTGGGGAGCCTCTTTTGGTCTTGGCACCAAGGAAACGAAGCAGCGCAGAAACGTGCTCACCTTGTAAATAAGGATGTGCAAACCAGGACGTGTCTGGCTCGCGAGTTACGCGTCGACGGGGGACTTCGATCTGCTCCAACGGGGACCAAAATCTCGCGGGACGGCCGAGCAAATTGGGGAGCTGGGAAGGGTACTTTGGCAAGATTCCCAGGAACCCACGCTTTAAACAATGCCCATGGTGTCGCTAATTCCGAAAACACGGCATGGACTTGAGATGACGGCAAGTTATTGGCTTCGCTTTCAATTGCTGGGAGCTGAGATTCCAAATGTTTTCACGGACCGGCGAGTACAGCCACAATTCTGTGCATCTCTAAAGTGACGGTGGACGACGGAACCTCCAATGTGCTACGGATCATGGGGCTCGCGCAACTGCCGCCACAATTTCCCGCTCTAGCACGCGACGTAGTTGCGACGTCCTGCCGCCCGGTGGTCAAAACCAAAATCACAAAGTAAAATGCGTACGGTAATAAATTGATTGCAGCAAATTGCCAGTTCTTTGTTTTGTCGTGCAATTAACGAGCCTTATTTGAAGTAAAAAATTGCAACCGAAATTCTGATGTGTCTCTTAAGAGCCGGAAAGCTAAATTTATCGTATTATTAGAAAGTGCGAGGTAATTTAATCTTCTCTCCTCGGTATCTTTTATTGGGAGTCCATGTGTCCCAATGGACAGCCCATAATTTAAAAACTTCGAGACAAAAGTAACAAAGAGGACATACACACTCATCTCATAGCCGGCACGGCATACAGCTGCCATTTTTTTTTCACGACAGACTTCTCTAAAGCTGAGGAGAACCTTCTATTCAACCAGGACGTTTGCTACCTGTCTTACAATGTTGCACCTCTTGCGGAACTAGACACTACTGAGCGTCCGATTCTTACAAGGCTATTTATAAAACAAACGGGAGCTCTCCAATCTGGGCCCATGGCCGCGGCAACGTCTTTCTCATTCACGTGCCCACCAGTCCCAGAACTCGTTGTGGCTAGCGCATTTCCTGGACGGTCCACATTCGTGCACCCCAATGACGTGCCCCAAGCGTCCCCGACGTGGCAGAAACGTTACTCGGTGCCAGTATCGCTAAGAATGGCGTTGCGCGGGAGCCTCTCTCGCAAACGTGTATATAAGTTTGGCAGTAACTATTTTGGTGTCCATGTTCAAATCAATTTTAAGTATTATCTTGTTGTCCGCAACGTCACTTCCAAACGACGTGAAAATATTTGCAAGATTATTCTGATGTCCACCGTCAAAATATTTTTGTTTTTATCGCGACACTTCAAACTTCAATCTTTACATAGCTTTGGAACTTGGGAATCTGGACTGGAAACTGATTTAAAGTGGCGGTAAAAAAATATAATCTTGATTGCAGGTGGCGTCGCGGTTCAGCGCGCATTTCCTGAAAACAAATGTCACGCGGTCGACTGCAGTTTTTATGACTTTTTAAGCGAAGGGAAATGAAAAAAAAAACTTTTAATGTATACATCAGCTATCAGGCTGCATGTACAGTTTGCTTGGTTGTGCCAAACATCACAGATTGCAGCACTGTAGCTATTTACGATTCATCCGCGCATTTCATATAGCTGAAGGAGCTAAATCTCCTGTGAAAATTTGCAGTTGATTGCGCGTGTCTCGTACAACCGCAGCGCAGATTGCAATACGAGAATGTTTTTCTTGGTAAATCAGAACCTTCATTGTTTGTTTGCACCGGTCAAGAAACATCAAGGATGCGACGTTTGCATTCGCAACATTGTATTTAACACGCGGTTTGTTTTGTAGCTAATCCACTCACAAACCCCAGTTCAAAGCAGGGCAGGAGCCAGATGCAAAGTGAGGCTCAGCAACCACACGAAAATGCACTCGCAAAGTGCTACGTTTAGCGCTGCGACTGCACTTCACCAGCCACCACTGGGCTGTTATATATGATGGAACCGGAAGGTGAATGGGTCGACGACGCAAGGTTCTGGCCTAGACCAGTGGTTCTCAACCATCGATGTTTCACGGACCCCTTATGGATTGGCAGAGATGACGGAGGACCCCGTTCGAGGTGAGTGGAGGGGAAAGGTATAGATTAAATATAATAATGATTTAAGAAATGGATATAACTAAGGGCTAGTGTGAAGTAGATCTCTCTTACTGACACACACACGAGAAAACTAATCCGAAAACTCAAACATTTTTTCTCGACCTGAAAAAAGACAACTTTTATTGCCAGGCTTGACTGATGAGGCAGGGCTTCGCGTACCCCTAGATTGCCTTCGCGGACCCCAAGGGGTCCGTGGACCCCCATTTGAGAACCACTGGCCTAGACTTCAGAGGCCATCTAAGTTCCTCATATTTGTTACGTTTCTGCCGGAAATAAAGGTAGTTGAAACCGAGTGCGACTTCTGCAAACATTGCGTTGATACAGCAAGGCTATCGCAGACTTACCCATTGCTGCAAGTGCATACTTTACTCGCCATGGTCTTGTCTTTCGCTGTATTTGGACACCTTAATCACGTAGGCGATTTGGCAAGCGAAAAACTTGGCGATCAGCGACAGGCTGGGCCGTCGCTGGGGCGTATTGCTCGCTGTTGCTCGTCGCACCGCTGGGTTGCGGCAGACTCCTAGTAAATTTTGCTCGTCGCCTGGGAGTTGCTCGCATGCAATCTTTGGCCCTGTGCCACGCCGCTCAGCAGAAAAGTATCGTGTTCGACGTTGGGTGCCTCGGAATGAGTTAAAGCAGACAACTTAAGCGTTGGGTAGAAAGTCTCGCGCGAACGAGTAGTCGCTAATTTGCGAGCGCAGCCCGAGAAAAGGTGCTGCTGAAGCAGTCTTGAAGACGCTCTCTGCTTGGGTCATTTGGTACGAATCGGTGCATCGAAAACGGCACCAAACACGCACAGTCCATGTGTTTCAGCAGGGCATGTGCAGTGCACACAGCGTA